GCCCGACTTCTGCGAGGGCACCTTGCCCTACTCCTACAACCTGTGCGTGGCCGCGCCGGCCCGCGCCGCCGCCGAGGCCGCTTGGCCGCCGCCGCCGCTGCCCATCCTGCCCGCCGAGGAGCTTCTGGCCGGGGAGCCCTGCGACAAGCCGAGCCCGAGTAGCAGCGCCGTCGCGGGAGAGCCGCCCACAGACCCCGACGCACCACAGGTCTGTAAACCCACACACCCTTTCTCCCTGAATCTTTCGTATCTCGTTCTGGCGGCAAGGGGCTGTTGTGTTTCTTTTTCTTTTTCTCTCCTCGGGCCATTAGTGCTGGTCTGCATTTTCAGTGATCCCGTGAAATAATCAGAGAGGGTGGATCTTTAGTTTTTCAGAATGAGGGGTATATGATAGGGTTCAGTTGGAGATTTACCCTTCCCGATAGTTTTTTTTCGATGCTGTGTAATTTGGACCTTGTAAAATGTGGATAAAACCCCCTCTGGCTACTGTTGTTTCGGTGTTGGACGTACAAAGTTTCATATGGCTGTGTTAATATGAAAGTTACACCTCTGTGTGCGTGCTCCCCCATCTTTTGAGTGAAGGCTTCTCTAGAAACTCTTACACTGCTGAGTCGGATAAACTGAGGATCTGAAAGAGCTCTGCACGGGAGCACTAATTCCTCAGGGTAAGCACTATAAGGCCTTTACTGAATAAGCTTTTATAGAAAAATGCCATGGCTTGAAAATGGAGAGAAATACAGACTTATTCAGAGCTTTCTCGGACATGCAGATTCAAAGTAGCAGGCACCCTTACTATACTGCTGGATTTGTGACCTGTGCGAGTGTTCATGAGTACTTTCCCTACTCCAGAACACTGTTCTGAACTGCTGAAAGGCTGAGGAAAAAGTCTTTGCAATTGGTGGCGGAGTTTCTGCTTCCCGCAGTTAAACTACTACTGCTACTCTACATATGCTAGTCCACATGTGATATTAACAGAGGTTTATATGCGTGTTATATCACCAAGATAAAAACATTTTCCCGTGCAGTAGAAACAATGTCAATGATTAAAGCATAGGTAAGCTGGAACAAAGGCGAGATCTCCGTGGAGACTTTGTTCTCCCCGCGAGCTGCCCGTGGGCGAGGCAGGGCGGGCATCTCTCGGCAGCGCTCGGTGCCTGCAGTGCCGGGAGGAGGCTGCGAGCGCCGCTGTTGACCGAGAGGAGCGAGAGGAAGGTCGGAGCGCTGCAGCCCCGCCCGCTGCGGACCGGCTCGATCGCTGGATCGCTGGATTCCTGGCTCGGCGGCCGGGCGGTCTGTGATAGTCCCCTCGCTGCGGAACCGCTCTGCAGCGAGGCGGAGAGCCCAGTGGCAGCAGCTGGAAGCGGCTGACGGGAGTTTTAGCTTGAGCCAGATCGGTGAGCAGCGGCGGGGATCTGCCGGTGGTGTTGCGGTGCCGGCGGTGCGGCGGCGGCGATGTGCTCTGCGGGGAGGCGCTGGGGCCGGCAGCAGCGAGTCCTGCTCTGGGGCGTCCTGCTGGCGGCCTGGGAGGCGGCGTGGGGGCAGCTGCACTACTCGGTGCCCGAGGAGATGCCCAAGGGCTCGTTCGTGGGCGATGTGGCCAAAGACCTGGGGCTGCAGCTACCACCGCTCCCAGACCGTGGTGTCCGAGTTGTCTCTGAAGACAGGACGCAGTATTTTGCTCTGCACGGGAAGACGGGACATTTAGTGACGGCCGAGAGGATCGACAGAGAGCAGCTGTGCCGGCTGGTGGAGAAATGCGTGCTGCGCTGTGAGCTGATAGTGGAGGGGGAAATGAAGTTTTACGAAATCGAAGTAGAAGTCACGGACATCAATGACAACGCGCCCAGCTTCCACGAACCAGAAATAGAACTTAGAACTAGCGAGACGACGGCTCCGGGGTCGCGGTTTCCCCTGGCCGAGGCTCATGACCCGGATTCGGGACAGAATTCCCTGCAGAGCTACGAGCTGAGCGGCGACGAGCACTTCTCGCTGGCCGTGCAGACGGGCCCCGGCGGGGATCAGCGTCCCGAGCTGGTGCTGGCGAAGGCACTGGACCGGGAGGAGGCGGCGTTCCACGAGCTGGTGCTGAGGGCGATGGACGGCGGCGATCCGGCCCGGACGGGCACGGCGCGGATCCGCGTGACGGTGGTGGACGCGAACGACAACGCGCCCGTGTTCAGCCAGGCGGAGTACACGGTGCGTGTGCCGGAGGACGTGCCCGTGGGCTCCACCCTCGTCACCGTCACGGCCACCGACACTGATGAGGGTCTGTACGGCTACCTGAAATACTCGTTGAAAAAACTGTCGGACATGGCATCGGGTATTTTCCATCTGAACACTGAGACTGGAGAGATCACGCTAATGAGAAGCCTGGACTTCGAGGAAGGCGACTACTACGAACTTGAAGTGCAGGTGCATGACGGTGGAGGCCTTTTCGACACAGCCAAAGTCACGATTGCAGTTACAGATGTCAATGATAACGCACCTGAGATTTCCGTGCGGTCGGCACTAAATGAGATCTCAGAGGACTCCCCGACGGGGACTGTTGTTGCCCTGCTGCACGTGCAGGACCGAGACTCGGGGGCCAACGGCGAGGTGCGCTGCTCCCTTGACGGGGATGTCCCTTTCCACCTGGAGAACTCGCAGGGCAGCCACTACCGCGTGGTGACAGCGAGAGAGCTGGACCGGGAGCAGCAGTCGGAGTACAACGTGACGGTGCGGGCGTCCGACAGCGGGTGGCCGGCGCTGCAGAGCAGCAGGGTGCTGGCGCTGCGGGTGCTGGACGTGAACGACAACGCGCCGGTGTTCTCGCAGGAGCGCTACAGCGCGCGTCTGCGGGAGAACAACGCGGCGGGCGCGCTGGTGCTGGTGGTGCGGGCGACGGACGCCGACTGGGGTGGGAACGCGCGCGTGCGGTACC